CATATTTAAAATATGTTTGGAGCATATTCTAGTCCAATGCAATGCTCAACTTTTCTAGAGACACTGATTAACTCAAAATGAGTGATGCAACCTTTTCACAATTGACATTATCATGCATTTAATAATTCATATAATTTTTTAGCTTCTCTATTTGGAGGCTCATCCTCAATCACTTGCTCAACAAACTAAACTCTTGTTATATCATAGATAATTTTTTATAATATAGTAGAATCGAGCTCCGTTGGAGGGGTAGAGCTTGTTAAAGCACCAACCTGATAATCAATATGTGGTTCCTACCCACTATGTGAAGTTAAGTACCAATCATTTGGTTGAAATCTCCTACGGTATAAATCCAACCATACTATGTTTGGTATTAAAAATACAAGATTGTTGTACTTCTCATATGGGCACACTCTCGAAAAGATAAGGAGAAAATTATGATGTTGCTTGTATGGATATTCAACACATTTCAATAACTTGTCAGTTAGTCATTTTCTTCTTGCTGCAATTTATTATAAATTCATGATGTTAAATTCACAATATCCATTGACACCCTATAGATTTAAAAATAAAATTAAAAAAATAGGAGTTATAACGTAAAATATGATCATTAAAAATGTGTTGTATGCGCATATGAGAAGTCTCATATGCACACCATAAGTATAGTCAGAATGTTTTATAACTACATAATTAGATAGTATATGACATGGGAATTTATGGTACAAACAATTGTTTGTTTTTCAGATGACACCTTATTTGACATGCTTGCATTAGTGTGGTTAAGACATAGGAACCTGAGTTATCTAAAAGTTAGAAATCAAAATTCAAAATTAAAATATCTACATGCATAATAACCAATTCATATGTATTTACATATATATATATACATATCTCCTAAACTTGTGTAGCTACTTCTAAACCGATAACATATGGGGCATTTACACAAATATAACCCCATTTCTTTGTATTTAAAAATATAATATTGAAACTTACAAATTTAGTTTACGGGGAAATTACATATATACCATTGAAGTCCTATGTATTTATATATCTAATACATAAACTTGCATGGTAGTGTCTAAACCAAAAATATAAAGGGCATTTACAAACATACCACCCAATTTAGTTGTATATACATATATAACGCATAAATTTGTATATTTTAATTTAAAATAAAAACTTTTGGTGTATATAGATATCTAACCCCTAAACCTTACATTTATGTTTTGAAGTATTTATGTACATACATACCACTCAATTCATTAGATATTTAAAGCATACACTTTCTTTATATATATATATATATATATATGCATATATCATAACCACTTTAACTTTACTTAAAAGATATGCACTTTTCATGCATAGGAAATGTGGTGTGTATGTAAAATATTTAAGTTTAGGTGTTAGATATGTAAACACAAAGGAATTGAGTGGTTTGTATGTAAATCTTCCCTTACCCTATGTGGGAAATCAGATTGAGGATCGATCCAAATAAATTTGGATCCAACAAGGTTTGTATCATTTATTGGCTTAATCCTTAACTATTGATAGAAAATTTTACTCTCAATTCTTATATAATTACATATCTAACAACCAAACTTTCATTCTTTTCAAATATCTAACCTTACGTGTGCATGAAGAGTTGTATTAAAATGCAAAGTGTAAGTTTCAGAAATATAAATACGTAGGAATTTAGTGGTATGTATGTAAAACCATTGACTCTTTAATTTTGTCGGCCATTGAAGCTACACCAACTTTTTGTATGGATATATTCATTACGCATTTTGTCTCTTACAACAACAAGCCTTTATCCCACTAAATGGTTTAGCCAAGAAAATGCTTTTTCTCCACTGCCTAATGTTAAGTGTCATATTTTCATTTAATTCTAATACATTATGATCCTTTTTTATAAAATATGTCCAAATCTTCTTAGGTCTACTTCTGTCTTTCTTCACATAAGTTGAATCTAAATCATCTACTCTCCTAACCAGATCATCAGATGGACGATGTCAAAAGTGAGCAAACCATCTAAGATGACTCTCTCTAATCTTTTCCACCAATGAAGCTACACAAACCCTATCACGAATATATTCATTTTTCATTTTGTCTATGTGTCAAACCACCCATCCATCTAAGCATTCTCACCTTCAGCAACACTTAAATTTGTTTTAAGCTTCTCTTTTAAAGGCCAACATTCTATGCCATAGAACATTGCAAGCCTCATGACCATAATTTTCCTTTAAGTATAAGTGGTATTTTCTATCACACAATAGGCCAAATGCATTCCTCTACTTCAACCAACCTACTTAAAATCTACTAATCACATCCCCATCTAAATCACCATCACTTTAAACAAGAGACCCGAGATTTCTAAAACGTTCACACCTTTTAATGACTTGATCACTCGTAGTTACAACTCTGCCACTAAAACTCTTACTACTAAAATTACATTTCAGTTATTCAGTTCTAGATTTACTTAAATGAAGTCCTTTAGACTCCAGTTTACTTCCATAATTTAAGTTTTTCCTCAACTATTTCTCTAGCCTTATCCATAAGAAGGGTATCACCGGCAAAAAACATACACCATAGTGCATCCTTCTATAAATGTTTGGCAAGTGCATCCATAACTAAAGCAAATACATATGGGCTTAAAGCCAATCCCTAATATAATCCAACTGAAATAGGAAAATATTAGGTCAATCCTCCTAGTTACTAAACCATAAACCTTAAGAACATTCTTCACAATAAACGAAAATGAAAAGGAAAACGAAGACAAGAAGTTACCTTCCTTGATTGTTTTGAGTAAGAGAGGAGCTAAAGGAGGAGAAAAATGGTAGTTTTAGGTAAGTATGAGCAGCGAATTTGTCATCGCGTTCCTAGCTAGCTCCTATTGTGACTATATCGTGAAGGTTCGGTGACGAAGGTGATGGATGGTTTTGGATGAAACAGAGAGGGGTGGAGGGACATGCAAGGCTTTCAGGGAGATGAGAGATGTAGGCGAGGGCTTTGGGTAGAGAGGAGTAACGTAGGTGAGGGGGGAGGATTAGGGCAAGACCAGGAGGGACGCAATTTAGTTGGTATAAAGAAATATTTCTAATGACTTATAGACGACTTTCAATTTGTTGGTTCTTAACACTATTACTGACAGAAATTTCTGTTTCTTATTAAAATACACGTCGATAAATACGCGACAGGTTCAAAGATAACCGATGAAATATGATCTTTAGTTAATATTTGCTTATAATCGATGGTTTAATGCATCGATAATAATTGAAAACCTCAACAAAATATTATTGTTGATAAATGACGACCTATCATGGAGTTATGTCGCGTAAATAACCAAAAGTAAAAGTTATCGCTAGACCGCTGAAAAGTAGAGCATTTTTTCAGACTTAAATTGAGGTCATTGCTTTCACTGTCGATTTTAGTGCTTTTTCATGTAGTGCTTCAATCTGAATATCGATTTTAGTCCATAATCTTTATTTCAATCCGAGTTCACACCTCCCCAAGAACGTCTCAAAATCGGTTGTTCATAAACCTACTCATAGCTCACACATCTCCCAACTCCGGCCTATATAGTCTGCAGATATTATCACAGCTCCTATAGCTCTAACTCCGGCCTTCGAGTCTTATAAACTTTATCACAGTTCATGCAACTCCCAACTCCGGTCTCTGAGGCCTAAGGACATAATTTGAGCTCCATGCTACTACTTTTGTAACGAATTACAATTTACGTGGCTCACAGCTTACACAACTCCCAACTCTTGCTTATGTGGCCTATGGACGTTATTGCGACTCCTTATTACAAAATTTTTTGTCAATCGGCGCTCTTGAAACACTCATCTACAACCCACATGGCCTATTACTATTGTTTTCAACTACGACATCTATGGCAAGCTAATGCTACAACCATCATATATAATATTCGCGGCGGACTACTGCCTCCATAGAAATCAACTACGGTCTTCGCGGACTGCTACAGTTTTTATTGCTGAAGTATTATTATGCATCAACTTTATAATTTCATCTTCTAACTCATGAGAGGAGTATGTTTATGTACTCACAATTATAGTATGTGGATTAGGCCTCGTGAATTTTTCCTATTTCTTGAGTTTTTCACTGGTATCTCTAATAATCACTTTAATTACCCGAGTTTTCTTGTGATATAAAAATATTAAATAACATTTCTTCGATCACAAATCTTTCGGCACACATTAATTAACACAAAAAATCCTATTTAAAGAGTCTAAGCATGATTGTATTGAAATATCCCGGTCCGCTTCGGGTTCTCTAAAATAAAATTTCCTGAGCAGCTCATAAAAAACTCAAGTCATTTCCGGGTACTCTATCAAATTTAAAAAACAAAGCAAAGCGTTAAAAGAGGCTTTTTCAGAACATCCAAACGGCGAAATACAACCCGCGACGGAACTGGAAAAACCAAAAAAAAAACAATTCAATAATTGCATCATGGAGCTAAATTCGAAAAAAAAAAAAAAAAAAAAAAAAGGAAAAACAATTCAATAATTGCATCATGGACCTAAATTAAAATTCTAAAGTGCAAAAACAGAAAGTTCAAGTAGTTTCCTGCAAAAGTCTCCCTCGGCCAGCAATCATTTCAGCAGCCGACCCCACCCCCGACAAGCCGACGCAGCGTCACCAAAGAAGGAGACCTGCCGGCGATTTTCCTGCAATCATCCTACCCATGCGTTGTACACGTGTCAAATCCCCCGGATTCAAATTTATAACCCACTATCACCAGTCAAATCTCACTTTTTTTAAAAGCCACCCGATTTATTACCCGTCTTACGAACCGGTCCCATTGGTGGGACCCACTTCGCAGGTTGACAATCGGGTCCCACTTTACAGTGAAGCACGGATGAGTTTTGCGCCTCACCAACTCTCATTTAAAATACGTATTCAATTTCCTGTCGGCTCACTTTCTATATATGTTGACAAGTCTTATCGCAGGAAATTCGAATTAGTTTCCTCTTCTGCTTCCCAAATTTTTTTTTTTTTTTAATTTTCTTTCTACTTATTCTGCTTTTCCTCTCTGTTTCTCCCTCATGGAGGACCTTCAGTTGACCATGGCCATACCAGGCTTGAGCTCCCCATCTGGCTCCGGCAAGTTCCCTTCCCTTCTTCAAAATTCGATTTTTTTCATGTTTAAGGCTTCTATTTCTTTCAACCAAGAAAAAAGTTTTGTTTTTTTTTTAATCTTAAGAAGAAAGTTGTTCTTTTCCTTGAGATAGAAGGGGGAGGAAGCAACGTGAGGGATTTGGACATGAATAGGCCGGCGAGTGGAGGGGAGGAGGAGTTTCCGGCTAGCGGGGAGGAGGGTGAGGAGGAAGATGGCGGTGATGGCGATGGAGATTGCGGCCACCGGCCGAAGAAGCTCCGGCTTTCCAAGGAACAGTCGAGAATGCTTGAGGAGAGCTTCAGGCAGAATCATACCTTGAATCCTGTAAGAAGTTGAATTAATTTAGTTTTGCAAATGGCAACTTTTGGGGAGTGATTTGTGATTTGACGGATGTTTGTGGGTGGAAATGTGCAGAAGCAAAAGGAGGCGTTGGCTTCGAAGCTGAGATTGAGGCCTCGGCAGGTCGAGGTCTGGTTTCAGAACCGCCGGGCAAGGTGAGTAGTACCTTTCATCCGCTTTTATTTTTTGGTTGAAAATGGCTTTCATTTTTTAATGGCGCTATTTATTTATTTATTTTTTAAATGGCCAGTTTTTCAGATGCCTTTGATTATTGCAATTGAAAATGGCAGTACGATGCTTTTCAAGTTGCTTGTGATTATTGCAATTGAAAATTTAGGGGCTGCTGATCTTTTCTTTTCTTTTTCTTAAAGCAAAAAATAATCACTAGGTTCATATTTGCATCTACATTTCTTTTCTGTATTTTACTTTAATGCTTTGAGAAGATGGTAAAATACACGAAAGCATATTTGTTCTCTCGTTTGGGGCAGCTTATTTGATGCGGTGGCGTTTTGAGAATGTACCTAACCTGTTTGGGTAAACTACATTTTAACAGCTTATGCTTTTTCAAAATGCTCAAAAAATATTTTCACGTCGCATCTATCTAGGTGGGGTAGGAGCTTTCTGACTGCGGTCTTGCTTCCAAAAAAATAAAAATTTATAATAGTTTTGGAGCAAATTATTTTTAATCAACTTATCAACGGATTATTCAATAAGCTACAGCTGCCCCAAATAGAAATTTTGTTTTATTTTCTTAAGTAATGTGATTGATATTTGAGTTGTGATTTTCGTTGGGTTTTAGAAGCATGCATTTAAATCAAGATAATTTATTATTCATAAAAAATAAAAACAAAATTTAACCTTCGAATATTCTTAGTATTTGATTTGACCACTCGTGTGAGGTCGAGCGCAGTGATCACAAGTTGGTGGCCATATCTTAACTCGCATTTTATATTTAACTCGTGCTGCGCGTGCTCATTTTTCAAATCATAACTTGCATTTTATAATATATAATTTATTTAATATTTAACAATAAGTACTAAATAATCTTTAAAAAAAATCGAAATTATTGTGATAAAGCTTGATTCATGATTTTCAGTCATCTAATACCAAAAAAAAAAATAATAATATATCATAAATTAAGGAGTTTGTTAGTGAGAAACTTATGATCTTATGGTTATAAGAAGTTCATCCCAAATTTACAAACTTTAAATTTTCATGTAGCCATAAAGAACATATTTTCCACTGCTCTGTTTGCTGAAGCAGTAGATTCATTTTTTCTTTGTTGGTTGCCGGAAAAGCAGAACAAAATTGAAGCAGACAGAGATGGAATGCGAGTATCTGAAGAGGTGCTTCGGATCCCTAACTGAAGAGAACAGGAGGCTGCAGAGGGAGGTGGAGGAGCTCCGAGCTCTGAGAGTTGCGCCGCCCACTGTCCTCTCCCCGCTCACTCGTCAGCCAATGCCGGCTTCCGCCCTCACGATGTGCCCTCGTTGCCAACGCCTCACAATGGCCACCCATCGCCGGCCGCCGTCTACCGCGGCCTAATTCATCCATCATAAGTATGTCTCAAGGGTAAGAAGTAGGAAGGTGGTGATATGTAATTTTGTTGTAGATATTTGATTGCACGAGTCTTGGTCGCTGACTGATGTTAGGCCAAGGATTTTGTACTGGTAAGTTGAGGTTTTATTAGTGTGCTTGCATTGGTTCAGTTTTATCTTGGAGAAAACTTGAGAGGGCTTTGTTCTTGTAGTATGAACAAAGTTTTACATGCCTACTTAAGTTGATTATTATAATTTATTTTATTTTTTTGTTAAGGTTTTAAGAGCTGAAATTGTGCGATTTTGTTTTTTTTTTCCTGGGTTGATCAATGCCATGGGTCATGATGATGAAAAATATATATTTATGTGGTATTTGAGGCATGAATGTATGATTGTTGTTGCATGATTGATTGTTATGTGTAATTAAAAATGTGAACGGGGGTTTTATGGTAAAGGATATAGGATTATTATATATGACTTGGATTTGCTTTATCATGTGATCCCGAATTAATGTTCTAATTGTGCAAAAGTTGAATCACTGCACTGTGTATTTTGGTTGTTGTTCAATGTGGGATTAAGAGAATCTATAAATTGTACTCTTTTATGTGGCTCTTTATTGCTTTAATTAGTCATAATCGTGCAATTTATTTGAATTTGTGCTTTTGCCATTTTGTCCTTAAATATAAGTTTAAGAGAATGTATAAAGTGTGTTCTCTCTTTCTCTATTTTGCAAAGGTTCATTGTTTACTATATCTCATCATTACATCTCAATTTCTAGTGTGCTTCATTTCTTGTCTTTTTGTTTATCTTCTTATCTCATAATCGTTAGATGTACTCTCAATATCTGTTATACCCGCATGTCAAACTTCACCTCAATCAATATATCTTCTTTATTTATTTTATTTATTTATTTTTCTTAATTAAAATTATTTGTTGTTTGGAAGTTTATGCCCAAATGTGTAATTCAATATAAAGTGAAGGAGAATAGCCGAACTCAGCATGAGCTAGGAGTACATGGTTGCCCAAGTTACTAGCTAAAGTATATAGAAAAAATTTTATACCAGGACCCCGGATGTCTGGACAGCGGCCCGAACATCTAGAGTCTGGATGTAAAATTTTCTCAAGTATATAAGGCATCAACCTTATTCTAAAGGTACTAGGCTAAGCTCAAAGGGTGCTCACCTAGGGCCCAAACTCAAACAACATTCATTTGGTTTGGAGTGGCTAAGCTTGGAGGACGATTGTCAATTTCAAAGGGCACTCATCGTACATTGAAGGCACTCATCCAAATCTCACAAAAAACCCTCCCATTCAAAGATAGTGACTTTATTTCATTAATTGACAAAACCATTAAACTATTCACAAGGCAATAATGATGCATATGTACTTGTAGGAATTATAAGAACCACGTTAATGAGTATGTAACAAACTTGTCATATTTTTAGTAGATTCAATTTTAATATTTGTTATAACGCTAAAAAAACTTATAAAAAAGGGATCAAATGACCAATTTAAGGAATATAAAGTATAATTCTTTAAATATATAAGTCATGAAGAAATAATTTTCACTTTTTAAAAGTGAAATGCAATATTTTATGTATAGGTTTAAAACACCACACACACACACACACACAAACACACACAGACACACACACTTTCTTTTTTTCTATTATTTCTCTTTAATCAATGCTCTTTTAAGATCTTTCAGCTCCTATAAGTTGTATTCAAGTATTTACCACAAATGAATTATCTAACATCTTTTTACGTATGATAAGCATCAATTGATGGTAGCTATAAATAGAGTTTCCTAATGATGAAGCATTTTTAAACATGTAAATCTACTTGTTTTTAATTAATAAACAACCTGTAAGGATGGAAGCGAGAATCAAAAAGATGATTTATAAATCTTAGGAGTGGGCTTTTAGAGCAGCATTAAGAGTAGAGAAATTGGAATCTTTTTAGATTCAATTGTATAAAAATGCACTTAGATGTTAGAGTGTTAACCTTTACTTTTGTTTTGAATGAAATTTACTATCAAAAAGAGTTAAATGTGAGTTAAATGTAAGAGGTCTCAGCTGACGAATGCAATCTATAAGGAGATTATAAAGGAAAGGCCTCTAATAAAGTTCAATATATCACACTTAGTCATATAGAGATAGAGCAAACCTAATCAACCCTGTGGCCAACTTTAAGTCAGCCACTCGTTACATGGTACAATAATGTTTCAAAATATTGCTTATTTTTTTCTCTGCTTCAAAGAATAATCACTCCAATGATTCCCATGCCTCCCATTAAAAGT